CTATCCGTCGATTTCGCTATGAATTGAAGCAAGTGTGACCACTTTATCCACTTAAACAATTTGATAATTGATTAAATCTTTAAACAAAATCGATAAACACGTTATACACTTCCTATCTCCTTAGAAATTAGCATGTATTTATGGATTGTGTTTTCGAACAAGGCTCGACCCACACCAATAGGGAAATCCTTATGCTAATTAGTATGACGTCATATTTTCCTGGGGAATCCTAGATTTCAAAGCCTCAGTCTGTTATTGTGTCAAATGTAAACGCTCTTGGGACGCTCTTTTGCAGACAGAAAATTGACAGATTAGCTTTTAACTTTCAGCTTTGATGTTTAAATATTCTGTATTTCTACCGGACTTCTTGCTGAATATCATATAATGTTATAACTTGATTTGGACCATTGCCTGATTGATCATTCTGAAATTTTGATTGTGATTCATGATTGATTGGCAAGAAAAATAATTCCTATTGTTTTCCAGCGAAGTCAAAATGTTACAGCATGAGTTATAATGTCGAGTTTGCATCATGTTAAATTCTGCTAGTGATTAGAAGTCCATGCACAAGCATACACATAAGAGACAGACACACCCAGGCTCCAGGCCGTGGATGGAAATATAAAACTATTTAAGGCACAAACTGGTATTAATAGACCGATATGTAGTGTCTGCCATGTATCGAAGGTAAACCAATCTGTATTATTAATGTTTCTTCTATCAATACATGGATTGTGCAATAGAAAAGCAATGGCACAATCAAAAATGTGCATATCAATCGTGAATATCTCTCGGTTCAAAGCTTATTTCCAACAGAATCGTGTCAAAATATGTGTCTGAGTAACAGTTATACATTATAAGATCGCAAACTCTTACCAATTATCAGCCGAATGGCTCATTTTCAACGAAATGTCCTTAAGACAACAGCCCTTGGTCGCGCCTGAGACCAAAAACTACTTCAAATAGCCCTCCCCTAATTATATTGGATAATCACATTTATGCGTGCGCGCGCAGCTCATCCAATGAACGAAACGCCACTTCCCGCTGTAATCACCGGGTATTGATCTTTCCCTTGGTTCTCTCAAAAAACGTGTAACTTGACGTCTCTATTATTGGAAGCAATGCACGTAGATGGTGAAGCCCTGTATTTGCATGAATGTCCTCTCTGTTCATGCCTCTAACGTTCATTTCTCTCTAACGAGAGTGAAATGTTGTTTTATTTACAAATGACGATAATTAATGAAGAGAAGCTGTCTGTTTAAAAATAGATGTAATATAAAAGCAAACAGTTCAAGACATACATTTTAATGTACGTGGAATAAATAAAAAGTGCAGATGAATATAATTTAGTAAATACCTGTTTTAGTGCACAGATGGATTTACACTTTTTCTTTCCAAGTCCTTCTTTTCTGCAAAGTTTTACACAAGGCTTAAAGACTCTAACTCTAACTTTTTTAACAGCTTTATACCTTGTAGCAATTCCCTCCGAGACTAGAAATAGAAATGTTGGTATTACGACCTGTTCCGTGTTGGTAATTCTGGCCATTTCGCCAACAAAGTAAGTGTTGTATATTTTGGACACTAAGTAAAATTAGTACCGATAAAAAGCAAAACACTGCCACCAAAATATTGCTTTTAAAAATTGATAAAGTAAAAAGTGAGGACTTCATTTTTTATTGAGTAAGGATGGGTATCGATATGGAGAACTGAATTAAACCATGTTTTTCTCTAAAATAATTATTGTAAACATTCTGTAAAAAACGAGGTCTTTTATGTAACGTCGACTGATTGACAACAATTTAATGCAAAAATAATTTATAAATATTTTATATAACTGTTTTTTTTTGTTAACATTTTCTGTTTTTTAGTGCAATTGTTTTTTGCTCCTTTTTACCATTTCTTGAGAATGAAATAATTATATTTCCGAACATATGATACCAAGAACAAAGAAGTGTCCGATGTGTTTTCTAAAACAATATAGAGAAAAGTATATCTATTTCAAATTATATTGTTACCATTCAAAATGTTTTGATGACTGGTTTAAGAGAAACGTGTGTTCAAAAAGTTCGCCATATCGATACCCATCCTTTAGTAAGACGAAACAATCGATAACGCTAAACTCAAAATTATGATACAATAGTAACACCGCGCACAGAGCTGATACTATATAATAAAATAGCGTATAAGGTGGAACAGTTATTCCTACTTATAACTCGAAATAGATTATTATACAATGATGACATCTCGCAAATTTAAAGATTGAAACTATTGTTGAAATTTGATAGTTAAAAATGTGGAACAGTTATTCCTACTTATAATTCAAAATTATGAAATAAATTATAATACAATGATGACGTCTTGCAAATTTTAAGAGTTGAAACTATATTATAGTCGAATTTGATTTTTCCCGACTTATAATTCAAATATATGAAATAAAATTAAGATACCATAGTAACGCCTGGAAAACTTGACACTTGAAACTTGAAAAGTTGACACTGTTTTTAAAAACTTAAGTAAAAACAGAATCATGAAACTCAAATGAATAAGATAATAACCATCTAAATCATTATATGAATAAATTACAAGTAAAACCCTACCTAGCACTGCCACCACTATGGCTAGAATGGCCACAAGTAAGTTACCACGAAGCATCATGTTCAATGTTGCGTGATTTGCACCCAGAACTCACGGGGGTTATATAGTAATAGGAACAATAGATTGAAATCATCAAATTTATCAGTTTCTACCAGTCTCAACATTGATAAAATAGGACAATATTATGAACAATAATAAAAGATATATCACATTGAAATGTGCTGAAAAGGCAAGCGTGTATTGAATTTACCCATGGTCAACACGTCTAAAGGACTGTTGACTTTATGGTCTTTAATCATACTAACCAGGCGCATTCTGGAACAGTGTTAGTTGTATTTTACGGATTTATCGCCTTTGATAGCATAATTCAATGTCAAGACCGAGGCCCGACGATTATGTTTCCTTTCAATTGTCTGACCGTGATAAACTGAAAATGTGATAATTGTATATCCGTTACAATATGTACGTGTCTGGCAATACATATGGTATGTATTCATCAGTTGTATTCGATATGAGCTGTGAATAATGACCCATGTCTCGATCATAATGCGCTGATTCAACAGCGCAGATTATTGAAACAAATATTCAATAAAGAAATAAATATATCAAAATTCAATACATCGAAAGAAGTGATAAAAATTATCAGCTGTTTATAAAGTCTAATAGTGAAACACTAAACCTTAGAATGACGCATTTCATCATCTCAAAAATGTCAATAAAGTATATCACTCCTTCCATCGAATCTTTTAAACTGTTGAAATTGTTCATTCACCCCCCCCCCTATCACACCAAACTAGTTCTCAACCGTTCTTTCCAGTTCTTGCCATATATAGAGATGTCGTGATTACAAAATTCGAATTCAAACAGCCGCCATTTTGTTAACTTCAGAGTTTGAATCGCGAGTTTTGGTCTTATTTCCAATAAAAATTACATTCAAGAAGGGGTCGAGATATTGGTTCGAATCTTTCGGAATGTTGACTATGAATTAATAGTCAGTTATGATTTCAGAACAACCTTGGTACAACCTTGATATAAGATCTATTATCTGCATGTTTGTGTTATATGTCGTCAATAAAAATGTTCTAGTCTACCTATTTTCGAGTTGGATGAGCGTTTGAATAAACAAATGAATACAGTATATTGTCTCTCCTTGTCCAGCATTGAAATTAATTTCCAGTAATTGATTATTTTTTTCAGTAAGGATTTGTTCAGCTCTTGGTGGATAGATAAAAACAAGTAATGGAAAGTCCCAGATGCTCCACGCACATTTAAGGAGAATGATTTGGGTCAAACTAGTATGGAATTTATTTTGTATCAAAATTGGACAACACATGATCCATTAGGAAAAGTCGAACCATATGACACTCGAACTATAACATGTGATTCGACACTCGCATCATAATATGCGAAATACGCATCATCATATGCGAAACTCGCATCATCATATGTGATTTTTATTTTATGTTATAGCAACAGTTGATTTTCTTACATAACTTATTTTCATTCACACACTGGTTCTATCACGTGTCACACAAAGAGTTACACTTGACTCGAATCACTTTGCAAAAATCCAAAGCTTGAAATGTCGCCCGGATTGTGTTATAAATAGCATATCAAATACTGAAAGAATTACACACAGATCAAAGTAAATTTCGAAAGAACGTATCAATTTTACACACGCATTGAGTTCAAACTCGCAAAAGATGGTTTCCCGCTAGCATAGGCTGTCACAAACAACTAGCACCTCACATAGGGTGTGAGATTTGAAGTCACGTGACATTTACATCCTGGTTTCTACAATACGGCGCCCTCCATAGAAAGTCAAAAGTCACACGAGATTTCAAAAAATCCCAAACAAAATCTAGAAGATCTCTAGCAACCATATAATGTTACATCAAGGTGTGTGATATTCACATCATGGATTGTGAACGGAAAACGTTTGTGTGGGCCGTATAAGCATTTGTTCGACTTGTGTACTCTGTTCGATGTCATTTTCAAACAATGCATTCACAAATACGCATTTACAAGTGTGATTTTACTAAACAGTGTGTAGGTGTGTGCAAACTCGAACAAACCGTGTATGAAATAACACGGATTGTGTTTGTATTCTGCTAGACGCTATTCAATGTGTTAGATAATATTACACAAATATAATATGTTCGATTTTGATACAATTTTAACACCATTAACTAGAGGGTTTATGTTTGTGTTTATGTCCTGGCTGTAGATTATCATTTAACAAACGTAGCCATGCCTGTCTTTACTTTTTGAGACTGAGACCATTGTTAAATAGTTTCAATGTTTTTCTAAGAAAATAGATCTTATGATCGTCTGGAGAAATTTTGACGGAACTTGTGAATATTGAACAGCTTTCATTCGAGTTTACAACACAGCAAAATATAACATTATTTTGTACTTCTTCTTTATTTCATATAAATCTTATATCTTATTACAGTATAGGACTTATAGTCGAATCAGTACGTTATATCAACAACACCACCTTTCGGGACATATAAACACTTCCCTTTAATCTTCAGCCATTTAGCAGTACTAACTGTCTGTGCGACAAAGTAATGTTTTGAATATGTCGTCAACACCTTTCTGCCTCCTGGAGGAATGACCCATCGATGGACTGGATCTGCTATCCCTTTGCTGTTCACCCATATCAATACAACCGACGTGGACAGTTTGTTATCAAAACTCTACAATGAAAATAGAAGAAATTACTTAGTACCATTTGCATTCGTTCGATTTCGCTTCTTAAAAGAGATCTTCGTCTTCGGTAGTTTATAACTAGACTCTGCACGCAGGGTAAGAAATGACCCGTCTATAGACTAGATCCACTCTGCCATTGTCTTCACCAATATCAATACAACCAACTTTACTTGGACAGTTATTTAATAATAAAGTGAAAATATAAAGCTAAACCTCGAGGATTTAGCGAAGTTCAGTTGACTTATATTCTCTTGGGAACCACAGATTTTTTATAAATACTTGATCGATTTGAGTAATATACCTGTGTTAGCTGTGGACTTGATACTGATTTCTCTCCAGAGGGCCCGTTACAGACTTTGTCTACTGTAAACAATCAAAAATGTATTAATAGACAGGTTCCAATTCTAATAATTCAAGTTTTTGAGGCATTTTTTAGAAAAAGCAACAGACCTATTTTTACTCGATCAGTTTTTCATGCTGATAAAGATATTAAAAGATGACAGCTCAACGGGGTGGTCACGACACTGAATTTTGGCATGTTTACCCCCCTAGGAAAATATTCTAGGGGTACTATGAAACTAGTTCATAACTCAAAGGATATATGAGCTATTGTTCTGAGTTGTACACCATACATTGCTAGTACAAATATGAATACTATCCTAAAGTTATAGGTTGATACCCCTATTGGTCTCAAAAAAATACAATAAACAGGAAATAGATACACAATTTTTGTCTTGCCAATTTTATATTTGTAGCTTCAAGCAAAATATGACAGCTTTAACAGTTCATAGTAGTATTCTAAAATCATTTCCAAGCTATATTGGGTATTGTAATACATCTATTTTAGTTATGAAGTACTATTTTGTAATTTTAATATGACTTTATAGTCCCCTACCCCTGGAAAATTGAAGAAAGTGGATGTGGTGAATTTAATCATTTTGCAGCATTAAGTTAGAAACATGTATTGATAGACACCAAATCAATAAATCTATACCATCATCAAATGTTAGGTGACATTCTAATTCATTTATTACTAGAATATAGGACTTAAGATATTTTATATGTAAGTTTTCAATTTAGTACATATATCATAATGAAATCTAGTGTAATCACATACTAGAGAGCACATTGACATAAAGTCCAAACATTATAATCATCAATTGATCTCATTTGAGCAACTAGACTATGGTGGTCACCATGCACAAGTAATGTGCTACAGTGCCCTATGTACTAGGGCACGAGTCATTTGAGCCATATATACCTCCTGGTATATACCTTTACAACCCATTCAGAAGGGTCATTTACAATGTGCAAAACATGGCAAAAGTTCCGTAAAACTGTTAGTTCTCATCATCTGACCATATAGCAGAGTCCTCATTAAGCCATGATGCATCACAGCCAGATGTTAGAAAAGTAGCTAAGAATCTTTTTTATTAACCAAAGATGACTTTCCCACCGATGTTGCATCACACTGTACTGTCAACTGTACATGTTGCTTTCAATTTAGATCAATCAACATAGATCTGATTCTGCATTTAAATACCAAGACTTCAGTTTACTTCAACTGTCATGACTAAAGCATTTGATAGTATTTACATAATAATGTTATAAAGGAGCATGTAGGTTATCGCAAACAACTTCAGACAATGGTCCTTTTTCCATATAGCTTTGAAATCTCGTTAAGGTCTTGTTTTTAATGAGATTTTAGGAGATCTGCATTTTTAACCATTAAAAACTAATGTTTTCTTCCATCTGATGGCATATTTGAATTATGTGAGTAATTCTCTATCAAAACAACTTTGATTTGCACTGTAATTTACCATTATTCAAATTCTAATGATTTACTGGTTGTCTAAAAAAGGTCGGGCTAAATCCCCATTGACACAATGCTGAAAAACCTTAAAAAGTTCATTTACTCTTCCAAGGATCATAATTTTAATGCGAAATCACAATCCACATGTCAATAAGATCATAAAGTTACATTCCAATGATGTTTTAAGTTGATCCAAATGGAATTACTTCTTAAATCAAGAAATTAAGTGACTCTGGCAATACATTTACATGTATTCTAGCCCTACCCAAGCTCTACCAATACCCATGATGCCATCTATTTTTCATTTATATGGAAAAAGGTCAATTCTAACTTGAATTATTAATATTTTCTGACCATGAAGTGATATTAAAGGGAATGGCCCAATCAACATACATTTTACTAAAAATGATGACCTAGTTTTTACCAAAGATGCAAGCTTTAATTATATTGTTGAATGCATAATTAGAATATGCTTTGAGACATGTTCTATTTCCTAAGAGGAAAAGTAGATTGCTCCAGGGACTTTAAAGACACTGTATTTGGATGACCAAAATGAACTGAAACCAATGGATAGCATGAATTTTTTCAAAGGGGAAATAACATGGGGAACACTAATCTTAGGGGAATTCAGTTTTCGTTTCAAGAGCTATTTGATATATTAAAATAAAGAATAGTAATGCATGAAACATTGTTAAAATGATTGCATTTTTGGTGAAAATGAGGTCAACAACTTTGAAAAAATATATTGATGGGTTGATTGTAGTGAAATATCTCCAAGTCCGATTGACTTTATTATCCCTGTATACCTGTCTTCATGATCAGGAAATAGTCATAATCAAAGATATAACTGTCTGAAATTGTTTGTGATAACTTACCTGAACATTTGCAGGTCAAATCAGGAGTGACACAATTTATTTCCACCAAATTTTACGATAGTATTTTCTTCATAAGATAGAGTGTCACTTGTGAAATTTATTGATTGACCTGAGATCGTATCATATCTTTATGAAATAGAAGCGAAATAGCCATATTGAACTTTAATGAATGTTGTTTGCCACTTTTCGACAATTTCGTCAAAATTTGGGGGTTTTGGGGGAGGGGTACAATTAGGTTAAAAAATTCACCTGATTCAGACTATCCTTAAATGAGCACTGATTCACACGAGAGCATAACTTTTCCAAAACATGTTAGTGTTATTTTTGGAACACTTACATTAATGTTTCGTCTAATTTTCCCTCAGAGTTTCCTCATCATTGTCTTAGGCCATATTTGTTGAGATATATGAATGTTCATTATTAAAATCTTGCCTTCCTTTGCAGTTGGAGAAGACTCGGCATTAGGTGTTATAAGTCCCAGACCACGATAAATAAAAAATAACAACACAATGACATAGAACTGATAAACGTTTTCTCTTGTGCGTGTCAGCCATCGGTCTACCAAATTAATTGCTATTCAGTGGGAAGAAACTCATTTTTCAGTTTCCATTTTAATTTCCTGACAAATAGAGCGATCATCCCAGCATTTTTTCTATGATCTATATATCTATGTGCCTTAGCAACTTCTGTTTTAGAGAACAATAAAACAATAGAAAAGATTACTTTACCATAATTCTAATCATCCCACATTGTAGACATATTTAGAATTAAAAATATGAAGAGAATGACAAAACCTCTTAAAACACATTTCTTAGGAAACAAATAGTGTGGTATTCTTGTTACTATGGCAACATAGTTTTTTTTATTTTTGTCATTTTTGTCATACAGATTACCTATCATACCAGGACCAAATCCTGAAAATTTGAATTCAGTATCTTCATTAGTATCTAAGATATATAGGCTTCTTATAGTATCCCCTGCAGATTTCATCGGAGTATAAGGAAAATGCTCTGAAGAGGGATGCCCAAGGATGCCACTTAACAGTTCTGGTATTTTTGAGGTCCCAACCCTCTATTCATGGGAATAGTTAACCATTGTAAAGGTACTCATGGTTAACTGACAGAATTGATTGTATCTTCAACTAAGAAGTCAATAAAATGTTAAAACCAGAAGAAAACCACACCAACTTTCTTCTATTTACCAGGGGTAGGGCATTATAAAGTCATATTAAAATTACAAAATAGTACTTCATCACTATATAGATGTATTACAATATCAAACATAGCTTGGGAATGTTGTTAGAATACTGCTTTGAGCTGTTAAAGTTATCATATTTTGCTTGAAGCTACAAATATAAAATAAACAAGAAAAAAATGACAATAATTGCATATTTTTTTCTAATTAATTGTATTTTTCCGAAACCAACGAAGATATCAACCTATAACTTTAGGATAGTATTCATCTCTGTACTAACAATGTATGCTGTAGAACTCAGAACAATAATTTATATATCCTTCAAGTTATGAACTAATATTATAGTACCCCCTAAGATAATTTCCTAGGGGGGTAAAAACGCTAAAATGCAGTGTCGTGACCACCCCGTTGAGCTGTCATCTTTTAATATCTTTATCAGCATGAAAAACTGATCCAGAAAAAATAGGTCTGTTGCTTTTTCTAAAAAATGCCTCAAAAAGTCTTTCCCTTGAGATATTCTGAAATTGGAACCTGTCTATAATATGCAATGTTATCAAAGAACAAGTTTTGTTTGTTAAATATATCACAAGTGGATTGTTGCTCCCTTAAACGGAAGATCGAGGTTTAAGACAAGCATACGATCCACGATTGGTGCATTTTACAAATTGAGTGAGATGCTTATGTCCTTTTATATGAATATTAATGCCTACATTACTTTTGGAAATCATTGATATGTGAGACTTAAATGTAAAGTTGTTTTAATTGCATATGGACATTGCAATAGTAAATGCTTGCAATACCTTTAGATTTGCACTTCCACTCAATCTCTACATATTTGTGTATCATTTCACATGGATCTCCAACTATTCCTTTTATTCGCAGTGAGTCTACTATACATTTGTTTTTTCCATTACACCACTTTTTAAGGAGCGGAAACGTCTTATCTTCGCTGGTACAGGCGGTATCCCGATAAAACCAGGAATTCATCCTATTTAAACAAAGGAGATTACAAATGCTCGAATTGCAAGCGCTTAAGTTAAAAGGAAAGGGGGTGTGGTTCCCCGGTGTGGTACACGTTGTACTGAGTAATTTGTGGTAGTTTACAAGTTTTGTATTTGCGCGAACATACAGCTCTAGTTAAGCGTGGAATTCACTGAAATAAAAACATTTTTCATCCAGGCATGGGGGCTCATATATCATCAACGTTATCATATAGTTTTCATGACAAATCACTTAAGGCCACATTTACTAATCTTCAATAATGTGTTCTAAAATACTTAATATCTTGCTAAATATAAAATTTAATTTATTTTGCGCTATAAACGTATATTGTCTTAATTAACTACTTTATAGTGTGCTCAAGTATCGCCATACTTACCATAGGCCCGGAAAAATGTATAAAAAACCAGGTCGAAATCCCTTAGAAAAGAGATTTCTTTAAAGGACTCAGACTCGATTTTTACAAATGTTCCCGGCCTATGCCACTTACAATGGGTTCGAGCATGTGTGTGTATCCTTCCTACCAAAATCAGCGTTGACGATCTTTATCTTTGATCCCCTGTTTTGACATTGTAATATGGTTGTACCACCTTCACAGAGGACTGTGCGTGGGGGAATTATAGGAGCTAAACCGGGGGGCACTGGGACACTCCTTCGACCTTTAATATAAATCAACACATGTTTTAATGGCAATCATCTATAAGTTATATCGTTGCTTTGAATCGAATTCCGTTTGTGTCATTTTCACTGTTATTAATAATGACACAAACGGAATTCGATTCAAAGCAACGAGTGCGGCAAACGTCAAAATGGAGTGCGTCGTGGAAGAACTAAAACATGCACAATCTAACATCTAAAGCGGCATGTACAGATCATTACTCTCAGGTGTTAACGACGCAAATTATCAACGTAATGACTAATGCGTGTGTAACTTCATCCTCCGAACGCAGGAATCCGGATCGTTTAATCAAAGGAACATAAATGGTGATGTCTGGAGTTTTGCGTTCGGGTAATATGGTGTAGCTTAAACTGAACGATATACTTGCAAGCTAGCGCCCAATCCCGCGAATTTATATGAATGCTGAAATAAGAATAAATGAATTTTCTTTGTGAATGGTATATGTGATAAAATCTGAAAATAGTATCACTATTAAAAAGATGAATTGATAACTATGTCGATAACAGAGGGCACATCATTACCTTTACATTCCCACTCTACTTCAACGTAACTGATCTTTGTTATACATGGGTCTCCGACTATTCCTACTATAGTCCTTTGGTCGACGACGCACTTTTCTTTTCCATTGCAAATACTCTTCAGAAGAGGGAATGTTTGGTCTTTACTTGTACACGATGTGTCAGAATAAAACCCCGAGCCAAATCTATTGGATATAAGAATACAAGTTACACAATAGCTGTGTTTGCTTCGACATCCGGGTATGAATTCAAATTTTTAATCTCGAAACAAAAACCAAATCATCATTTCATAATGAAAACGAAAGATGATATATTGTATGTATTTCATGTATTTTACTTTATTTCGGACACATAACAATGTCTACTTAGTTGCAAATGATGATGAAGGAGTACGATAGCGTTAGGGTACTCTTTATATTTCAGTATATATAGAACCCTACGATTGAGAAAAGTCTGAATTCTTATAAGATACAAATAATTTTGTTTTGATTTATACTTTGTTAAAGTGAACAATACCTCATGATCACGGTTTGACATTGGTTTATCCCCCTTATTTTCCATATTTGAAAGTCTTATCAGTTATCACCGGAATGTTATAAAAACAGTTCGACCTTCGACCTGCACCTTCGACCTTCACCTTCGACTTACAGGGTGTCAAAAAAGCGGGCCAAAAAGAAAGTTATAAAAACCCTTCGACCTGCACCTTTGACTTATTGACGTTTTATACTCAGTTATGCATGCAGTTAGTAAACGATGTGAAAATGAAAACAGTTCTTGAATTCAAGCAAATGATTTCCATCGATCGATTCTTTTTTTCTTCGTAAATTGGTAAAAGGTTACCTGCATGAAAATACACTGGAAGTCGTGGTGTCGCTACAGTAAACAAGAGAATGATAATCTTTATAGTCTCCAATCGATGCGGGAATGTTGATCGATCATGTATATAATATTTCTACGGCTGCAAGAGGAGGGGGGAGGGGGCGGGCGACTAGTCAAATTTTTTTACAGGGGGGGGGGGGGTGCCGGTGAAACTCAAAATACCTACCCAATTAATTTTTAAAAAACAAGACCCACTTCCGGCGATTTTTTGAAAAACAGTACCTATACAGTTTTAGGATTTTTCAAAGAGTAGACCCTAGGGATTTTTTATCATATCTAGTGTTTTTTCTTCAAAATGGGACCCACACCTAGGGATTTTCCGGTGAAAAAGTGACCCGTCCCCATACACAGGCCTGTCAACTTGGGAACACCTAACACGAGTGACTTGCAAATGTTGAACTGCACCTTTGTTCAAATTTTGGACACCTTGGTCCAAATCTGAACACCTTGGCCACATTTTGAACACCTTGGTTTAAATTTTATTGCATATAATCAAAGTTTGGACACCTCAAATTTTTCGCGCTCGCGAACTGTTATCAGGGGCGGGGGGGGGGGGGGTAGGTAGGTACGAAATATTTAAAGCAAAATGCGGGACATATACGGTATCCGCGTGAAAATTCCGAACGAAATGCGTTCCTTTTCGTCGTTCGGTTTTGTGGTGTATTGCCGATCATTTTTGAAAATGTTTTTGCAAGAATATTTTTGCTGGACAATATGCGTATTTGCGTGACATACTCTGTCACGTAAAAAAAACTGGCGTGACTTCAAATTTTCCAGCAAATGCGTGACAAATACGCAAATTGCGGGACAGTTGGACGGCCTGCATACAGTACAGCCAATATGTGGTACATTTTGGCTGCAGGCCTGCTAGTCACGTCTGAGACATGGACTCCCCCATGGACTTGAGTGAATGTTTCTAACGTATTTCCTAATAGGCCTACTTATATAGGTGTTTACAATTATATGACTTATATGGAAATCCTTGTATGGAAATATTATATAGTTTCGAAAGAAAATATGACTTTTGCGTGGTCAGAGATCGGCAAAAATAGCTTCTATAATATTTTCTTTTTGGACACCGTGTAGGTCGAAGGTGTAGGTCGAAGGTGCAAGTCGAAGGTCGAAGGGTTTTTATAACATTCCGTTATCACCTTGTCATATGCATTTGAGATATATACTTACTCTGGCTTCGTGCATGTGTGTTTGTTTTTCCTACCATAGTCTCCACTGCGGACATTTATCACAGTTCCAAATGCTTTGCATTTTAGAGTTGTCTTTTCATCTTGGCATATAAATGTACGCTTCACTATAACAAACATTAACAAATTGTTAGCAAATATCACTTTAGTCCCACAAGATAGTACAGAAATGGTCGAAGAGGTCAAATAACTTGCCATTCACCTAAGAGGATATTTTACTACAAGTATGGTCAAAGAAGTCAATAAAGTCATGGGCCTTTGGGGACAGTAGACAAATGGCCGAAGAGTTGAACCATTCTCTATTTGATCTCCATGATAGTACAGAAATGATCGAAGCGGTGCACTTTCTAGCTGATGGCCAAAAAGGTTTTACAACTACTTTTCATTAAACATACTTGATAGTACAACGATGGTCGAAGAAAGCAATAACTTACCCTTGATTTAAGATGATAGTACAACGATGGTCGAATAAAGCAAAAACTTACCATTGGCTTGAGATGATAGTACAACAATGGTGGAAGAGAACAACAACTTACCATTGGCTTGAGATGATAGTACAACAATGGTCGAAGAAAGCAATAACTTACCCTTGGCTCGAGATGATAGCACAACGATGGTCGAAGAAAGCAATAACTTACCCTTGGCTTGAGATGATAGCACAACAATGGTCGAAGAAAGCAATAACTTACCTTTGGTTTAATATGATAGTACAACGATGGTCGAAGAAAGCAATAACTTACCCTTGGCTTGAGATGATAGTACAACAATGGTGGAAGAGAACAACAACTTACCATTGGCTTGAGATGATAGCACAACAATGGTCGAAGAGAACAACAACTTACCATTGGCTTGAGATGATAGTACAACAATGGTCGAAGAGAACAACAACTTGCCCTTGGCTTGAGATGATAGTACAACAATGGTCGAAGAGAACAACAACTTGCCCTTGGCTTGAGATGATAGCACAACAATGGTCGAAGAGAACAACAACTTACCATTGGCTTAAGATGATAGTACAACAATGGTCGAAGAGAACAACAACTTGCCCTTGGCTTGAGATGATAGTACAACAATGGTCGAAGAGAACAACAACTTGCCCTTGGCTTGAGATGATAGCACAACAATGGTCGAAGAGAACAACAACTTACCATTGGCTTAAGATGATAGTACAACAATGGTCGAAGAGAACAACAACTTGCCCTTGGCTTGAGATGATAGTATAACAATGGTCGAAGAGAACAACAACTTGCCCTTGGCTTGAGAAGATAGTACAACTATGGTCGAAGAAAGCAATAACTTACTCTTGGCTTGAGAAGAAAGTACAACGATGGTCGAAGAAAGCAATTACTTACCATTGGCTTGAGATGATAGTACAACAATGGTCGAAGAGAACAACAACTTGCCCTTGGCTTGAGATGATAGTACAACGATGGTCGAAGAAAGCAATAGCTTACTCTTGGCTTGAGAAGAAAGTACAACGATGGTCGAAGAAAGCAATTACTTGCCCTTGATTTAAGATGATAGTACAACGATGGTCGAAGAAAGCCATAACTTACACTTGGCTTGAGAAGAAAGTACAACGATGGTAGAAGAAAGCCATAACTTACACTTGGCTTGAGAAGAAAGTACAACGATGGTCCAAGAAAGCAATAGCTTACTCTTGGATTGAGAAGAAACTAAAACGATGGTCGAAAAAAGCAATAACTTACCCTTGGTTTAAGATGATAGTACAACGATGGCCGAAGAAAGCAATAACTTTATCTTGGCCTGATAATATAGTACAACGATGGACACAGAAAGCAATAACTTACCATTGGCTTGAGATGATAGTACAACGATGGTCGAAGAAAGCAATAACTTACCCTTGGCTCGAGATGATAGCACAACGATGGTCGAAGAAAGCAATAACTTACCCTTGGCTCGAGATGATAGCACAACGATGGTCGAAGAAAGCAATAACTTACCCTTGGCTTGAGATGATAGCACAACAATGGTCGAAGAAAGCAATAACTTACCTTTGGTTTAATATGATAGTACAACGATGGTCGAAGAAAGCAATAACTTACCCTTGGCATGAGATGACACGATAAGGAAAGCTACCACGAACAGGTATCCAGGTGTACATATTCTTTCCTGAAACAATGATTTTATCAAATCATATTTGGTGACATGCCATATTGAATAGTGGAAAAAATATTTAAAATACCAAAACTAACTGTTTTGCGACCAATTTTTTCTAAAACAACAAACTGATTAAATGTACTCATATATGAATATCCTTTTCATTTATGTTCTCTACTTTCAGTATTTAATGTATAAATGAACATATGTATTGATATTGATATCGCTTAGCCTAACTTAACAAAATACAATGTGTACTAGTGTAGTAAGAATATATACAAACCATTTCCCTAAAGTGGATCCAAAGATGAAGAGTAGATGATTCACGAGACACATTTGTCCTTTATATGATTTTTTATAATTTTAAGCAACGAATCAAAATACTTTATCACGGATTATTTAATCACGTGATAAATGTTAACAGGACAGTTATTCTACCGGTCCTGTTTCAAGTGCTTTGCTCACATCCCGTGAATGGGATAATAAAAAGGACGTCATGTATAGGCGTTTCCGAGAATTCCTTACTTATCATACAGCTGTTTATCCATGCCTATCCGGTTTAATGAAAATGTATATTTCTGTGGTTGTATTTGCATATTGAGGTTTGTACAGTGAACTTTATCCACATACATCAGTAAGCATTTAAAGCTACTTTTATGAGTTCTATGATTTCTAGAAATAATTCTAAATTCTAATAATTCTTGACAATGTAATTATTTTCCACCCACTTCATATGTAAAAGATAGAGAGAGAGACTCAACTTCGCCACACTATGCGTTGAAATTAACATCGCTTATGCCTTGTGCACATAGGCTCAGATTTTCACTACGGCGCCCGGGCATCGTATGGGCGCCGGGCGATGATCGAGCACCATCGGCCGATTTTTAGACATCGCCCGGGCGCCGGTAGAGTTTTATCGCGGAGATAAACGTTGCCGATGAGTTGGCGATTTTTTTTCAGCCAAACTCATCGGTACCTATCCGGCTGTGTCCCGTACGGTCATCGCACGATTATCTTACGACTCCCGGTGGCATCGTAAGGTCATCTAGAGATTTAAAATTTAAATAAATTTTACACACTGATTTGTTCGATAATTCTCAATTATTAATATTATATAAACATTGTAAATATGATAAGTTTAGGAAATATAATTGCCCAGAACTTTTTTCTAAAATATAAAACACGAATTGTATAACGAAATATATTGTAAAACAATAACACATTTGGGTCATTGTGTGGGTGGATCTTTTCGTCCTTATTAGCTGCTTGTCAGTCTTGGCATTAAATCCCGATGAACAGGATGATTGATACCTTTTTATCCGTATATTCGATTCAATCATGCAAATGCCATTAAAAATCATTGGAAAATGTCACGTTCTGTGAGTATAGTTTTTACAAAGGCCACACTTTTCGAGAGTCTAGCTATCTTACAATAAATCAGATGATATGATTATTTTCAATAAATTAATATTATGAAGTTCAACATCATAATGTTATAGAATGTAGCTCATACAAAGACAAGTCTATAGTCGATGCAAAACGATTGATTTTGGAAACTGAAATGAAAGAAACTTTTCTATGAATTCAATATATGTATACTGTCGCTGCAGAGGCTCTCTGGTGTTATGAAAATCGACCGATATTCTGGCGAGTGCATACGGTCATCGACAGATAGCCTTGCGATACTCTTGCAATATCCTATGGATTTAGTTGTTTGCGGGCGCCTAACGGTGCCTGTACTAATGTGACCATACTCACGGCGAAATCAAGACATTGGGGAAAAGTCACCGGCGCTTGGTCGATTAAGAAATCGGCCGATGACTACTCATCGGCCGGCGCCCGGCGCCTATGTGACCTAGACATTATGTAGTTCGATGTAGCTCACATTAAAAGCAGTTATAACGTTTGTTCCTGGATGTTATTAGACAAATATCCATGGTTGAGTACAGATTTTTCAAATGAATGTTAAATGATAAAAACGCAAAATATTCTATGAACAAATTACAGTGTGGTAAAGATAATAGGGAGGTTAAGCTATACGTTTTTAAGAAAATTTGTACGCGCATATGCATGCATAAGTTCTCCCTGTATAGCAATACAATGAGAGCCAGGACTATTATAGATGGCAGTTCACTACTAGGTTGTTCTTCACATCTGGCCCATTGGTTTGTGTGTAAATATTGCTGTTTTAAAACTTCAAATTCACTACACATATCAAATAAATATCATATTTCCTTCATTATTTTATTTAAAAACATGTTTAAAGATTCAAAATCAAAGGGTTTTTGATATTTTCAATCACATTTATCTTGGGAGATTTTTGGAGCAATTTTTATAGTTGTGATAAGTTAATGGCAGAGTTTCACATACAATTAAATTCTCTTAAAGACGTGAAGCTTGATATTGTATCATGATTCATCCGAGCTTTATTATCGGCGAATTGATCCCTATTTCAAATTAATTGAACATTGTTTATATCAAGTCTGAATATGCTAGATGCATTGATGTCATTGCAAGAGTGTCATATAAATATGTGTTTTGATTGAATGGCGACACTCTGAAATGACAATCTCAAGTTTTCAATCATAAATTCTAGATAACACGATTGTTAGTGATTCGCGTCACATAGGGATCATGCTTTGGACGCTTTTAGGGATACCGCTACTTATTTGTAAGTATAAATCTTGTATAATATCTGAAACAAGAATTTCTCGATATACATGTATTCTATACATTACAGCCGTAAGCGTTTGTTAAAACCGGGGAATCTATAAATTAAAATAAATGTATATTTGTTTTGATGAGATTTGAAGCGACCTATAGAGTTACAAGAATATGTAGTCTAAACATTTATATATTAAGGATATAGTTAAATATTCAATTTTGATAATTTTTTAAACGCTATAGGTGTGACCACAACAAGGTGTGATGCGCACGTTAAGTGCTCGTTGTCTGGGGGCGAGTCCGCTTGTTTCTATGCATACGGGAACGCTGGTGTGACGTATACGCTCCTGGAAGACAAAACAACGGGTACTTATCGAATAGAGGAGTTTCTAAATGATTTTGAAATCTTGCTAATTCTTCGTTTTTTTCATGAGATTTAAAGAGATTTGCACATTTTACCTCTAATGACTTACTTTTCTTTCTTTTTAATAGCATATTTGAATTCAGTGATATGTTTCCTACAATAATAGCTTTGATTTACACATTTATGTCATTTAAATCATTCTCCATGACATTTTAAAAGAACTTGGGCCAATCTTCCATTGATGTTATGCTAAAATTCTTTAAAACCATGGTTTAATCGTATGACAACCAACATTTTCATGTTTAATCACAACATGTTCATTGACAGGGTCATTTAATAGTATGCCATTAAAGTTTCAGACAGATTTAACTAGAACTCTTTGATAAATCATGAAATTAAGTGACTATTGCAAGCTTTTAGCATAGAACTCAAAGGAAGGTTGGCCCAAGATGAACAACGGTGACATCTATTATGTCAGCTTTGTTCAGCTTTATTCAGCTTTATTTAGCTATTTAGAAACTATACTTAACCTAATCTATGTCATATCTTACTTGCATTAGCTATATAAGCTTCTTGTTCTTGTATTATCCAAGTATTATTTAATATTTTAAAACACTATTTGCATGGGGGAAGTGTTGACGATCTGACCAAATACATAATTTTATATTATCATTGCATAAATGGGATAATTCTGTGATCCTGTTTCAAAGTGTTTCTACAAATGATTTGAAATTGTATACCCAAATCATGAAGATATAAACACCAACAATAACATTAAATTTTGCATTTCAAAATTATAAACGCCTAAATCGTTCGCTACAGGAACGAAAGTGGAAGCAACATTCATGAGTTTAGCGGAGGGAAACAAAACCTTACAAGAACCAGCTGTGGACAAAGTTCGCTTTGTTAATAAACGCATTGAAATGAACGTTTCAATGAAGAAAATCTCGATACAGGATATATCAACTGGTCATGTGACTAATTATGCATGGGATGCTATTGGATACGGAAACAATGGCGTCACTTCCGCTCCGGATGGTATTACGTTTGCATCCCAACACCATGGACTTGAGATCAACGTACCTGGAAGCTTGACACTGCGATTTAGGCGGTCTATCAACCAATTTGATTTTGTTGTGAAGAATATTGAACTAAAATCTTTAGGAGGCTTCAGCGGTATGTATAAATATAGTATATATTTTGATCTTGGTCATAATTTCAACGATGCACAAGCACTGTATTTCACGAAAATAAGGATGTACATCAACTGTAAACAATGCTTATGGATGAGTGTAATTAACAAGTATTTACATTAAACCAAAATAATACGCTGGAAAAGTATCAGTAGGTCTACCTTTCAAGCAAGTGATGATCTTAATAATGTTACGATTTTAGGTGAGGTGTGCACGGCGAGGTTTAACACTGCAATCAAGGCCGGGCTGGAGCATAGAGATAATTCACATCTGGCGGGAGAATTGTTGGTGTTGGACACATTCCTCGTACCAGCCAAATTGAAGTTTGGTAGGTATTGGTGACGTTATTAGTTGTCAATTAATTGTAATTATATAAGGGAAAAAAATCAAAAATAAAGCAATTAGCTAGAATGTCGGGAAATTTAAAATAAAGATATTAATATTATTTAAATCAAGTTCATTTATTTCAGAGAATAATGATTTATTTTCGACTTCCATTTTTAAATGTAATCTTGATTGCTGGTAGGATAACTGGTGAAACGTCGAGAATAAATCACTATCTCTGAAGTTAATAAACTTAAGCTAGCTATTTAATTAATATATTGCCAGAAAGGTAAATCTACACAGAAACAGCAATGTAGTTATTGAAGAGTGTAGTATTGTTATTGAAGAGTGTAGTACCTAAAGAGGAGCAAACGTCCATAAGTGTGTTGTTGGATAATATAATAACCACATTTTGTTATGAATAACTTGATGCTATTTTTGCCCATGGACATATATGTGCACATTTCTTGTAGGATGTTATACACCGTTTAAACAAGAAGAGAAAGACATCACATACCTTCTGCTACAACGTCATCGTCTGCCTGCGCACGCATAATAACGGCCACGTGATAAAGCTTCCATGTCGTTCTTTTCGTATTTTAAAATATTGAAAATGACAAGTACATTGAGTAATTGTTAAGAACAACTAAGCACCAAGCCGATTGGAAAGGAATCATTTTAATGGGTTGTATTCGTGGATTATCCTTGAAATAATTTTTATAATCTCTGAAATATTCATGAATAAATTGAAGCTGTTGAATTCTACTCACTTTTTTGTATTGTGCATTCGATGTGATTAATAACAGTTTTCATTGGAACGACCCTACTCCACATCATCATCTAATAGTGCTGTACGAAGTGGTTTCAACAATACTGAACAGCGCAGGTCGAGCATACAACGCTACAGCGCAGTTTGAGTAACTGTAATGTGTAACACCCGTTATAATAGCGCTTTTCCGGATATTTATAAGATAGGAATGAATGATCTTGCTATTTTTAAATTATCAGGTATTTCACGTTTATTTTGTCATTTTAGACAACAGAAAGGCAATGCCTCGATTTTCTGTTTCATAATACTGGATATTATTATTTCTCTGTGGTGATAATCAGCATGCGATTGGTCAGTCATGTACCATGTGACTTAAAATACCTCAAGGTATTCCATCCTTGTATAAGTCATCGATATGAAAGATATATTTTTAGAAAAATGAATACAGGTATTCAACGAATGTGACGTCACATGTACAGACTACTGTGAACATGTGGCTTTTTATCCAATTCTCGATTTTTGAGACACTATATAGTAAATGAATTAATATTGTTAAACGGTTAATATGTATGAAATACTAAAACAAATATTGAATTCTGTTTTCGTGCACGTCCCTTTGGAATACACCCTCAGAAATATATACAGGTATCGATTGCACTAAACAGTATTTTCCATCAGCCGTTGATGGTGTATTATTATTAAAATGGTATAATTGAGTATATCTACAGTACTATGAACACATCACATTTTACAGGTTAATTAAGAAAACTTTATTAGTTTGGAATAATTAAAGTGATTTAATCATTTCATCATAACATCTAATTTTTGAACCCTTTTGTTTGGAAACATGCCAACATTAATTTAGTAATTAACAAAATTATGGTCCCGTAATATTTGTGGAATATAGTATCAATTTTTTATAAAAATGTAAAAGCATAATTGCATAGTGTTAACAAATAATTACTTAGACGTTATATTTTCCTGAGGCTGTCACTTCGTGTAGTCTCTGAGCAATTCGTTCAGTGCTATCGTGCCTCAATACTTCTCAACCTCAGTAGTTTTGTGACTTAACATATTTTAAAAATATATCTATTTTGCGTCTTGCCAGTATCAATAACGCATAATAGTTGTTTTGTTAAATGTTATTTTCTTATATCAAGGAAAAGCTTTTGCAAGAACAAAATTAAGTTATTTTGCAAAGAATTGCTAGAATGAGCGATTGGTTTGAACAGATCCAAGGCATCGATGACATATACAATATCAAGATTCTCTCTACACCAGAATCAGCAGTGAATATATATGAATAAAAAAGTTGAGGTGGAATATCAAGGCGGAGAATCAAAACGATGCATGGTACAGCTGCGGACTGTGACTCCCGAAACTGTCCAACGCAGTTCAGCACCATTGAAATGGAAGGACATGTCAGTCCCAGTCATGTCTGGAAAATATTAAATATATTTTCTTTGGTTTCTTGGAGATGGCCCTTACATGTTGCAAAGAGGGACATCGCAATTAGCAAGTTGCCGTTCGCAGTTGCATGAGCTGCTAGAATGATTACTACACTGTCGTTATTGTTATTCCAGCGGTCTGCACGAGATATCAACTCCTCTACAGTGATTGTCAAGTGATTTGATTCGTTATACATCGAATGCGGGAACCCTTTATCCGCCATACCATCAATCATTGACATATGCTGGTTTGATCCTGAAAGCCTAGGATTTATATCGACCAAGAATAGCTCTCTGTTACGTGTTTCCATGACGTCAAAACAAACGTAACCAAAGTAACCCATCTCATGGAGCTTTTTAAAACAGGCTGCAAGAAGTTTATCATGCGAAAGTTCTCAGCTTCATCTTCCGGAGTCTTACTATAAGTTCCACCATTCCAGACATCTGTATTACTAGCAAAAGTTTGACTGCTGAAACCACCGATATTGACAGAGCCATCTTTATGGATATATGTTTGTACAGAGCGATCAGCTATTGTATCAGTCAGAAGTTCTTGATACATTAATTCTTCTTTCCATCCTTGTTTCTTTGTCCATTCTTCATATTCGAAAATTTCCCGATCAGTTGTTGCTATCTTAACACCACGTTGACCTTGAGAAATCGGAACTTTGATGACACACGGAGCCCTAACGCTTTCTTTACTGATAACGTTTGGTTGTTTGATTTTGATTTTTGGGATGAAGAACTTGGAGTAGATCTCATATAACATATCCGGATCAATTGCGAGTTTCTCGACTGGTAGTTGTTCAGAGGGGAGTAATGTAAATAAGGAGCCATCATCAATCGAAGCAAGATTGTCATCGTTTAGTATCCTGATATCCGTACATTCCTCATAGTAAGGCATCCACCTTCTCCAGTGAACCTTAAGGAAATCGAGATTTCTTGGGATCTCGAACGCCATAACAGGAACGCCAGAACCGACCGTTGCTAATGTCTTCATAACCTTGACAGCAGCCGTATCAAGTGAATACATCGGGAACTCCAATGTTTGGTACTTCTTGAAATTCTTTAATGGATAGTTTGTATTAAGCGGAGAGCTTGGGTACAAGGGGAGAATGACAGGATTTTCGATATCCTGTTTTAGGAATACTCCAAGTCTGCATCCGGTTAGCCTTCCTTCAGCAATTATTGGAATATCTTCAAAAGTATCATTGTTGTTTTCTATGTATAGTGTATTACAGTATTTTCCCTTACTACCTTTAAGTAATCGGCGGTCGGCACTTTGTTCATGACATCTGAAAGTCAAAAGTAAAATTGCGCATTATTTGTAAAAAGTGTATCCATGTACTTATATGATATTGCTCGGTGACATAAGAACTGTATTTGTGTATGCCCGCGGTGCTAGTGAATTGCGTAGTGAGGCTTGATGAGGTTTCCCCCGGGGTATCACTAAAAGAACAATAAGGCATGCAATGCAAATTACAAGCTTATGTGTTTTCAATAAAAATAGTTTATCCAAGCGCACCTACACTCACATAATTCTTTTGAAAGATATCACGGGTTATTGCAATGGAACTCTTGCGGTGCAGACATGGTTGACGCGTAAATAGCAGATTAAGTGCGCTTGAATGAACTGCTCTTGATGAAAACGTGTGAGCATGTAATTTGCAACGAATGGACCCATTGTTCTTTTTCGTGATACCTAGGGGGAATTCTTATTAACATATACTTATTATGCAATGCACTAGCCCGCGGGCAATTCAAAAATGCAGCCTTCCTGCATGTCCTGTACTTGATCATTTGATTTAAAAGAATTGCGGATTAATCCTGTCAGATATGAAAGCGAGTAATAGCAAACCAAGTAAAACACGTCTGGTTTATTGAAAACCCGGTTATTAGTTTGAGCATTAACTTCTAAGACATAGAAGATACATTAAATGCAATCACGCTAAGTAATTTGTTTCATTATTATTTTGTAAATGGTTTATTTATGATCATATTATACGTATGATTCATCAAGTTTAATCTTATCAAGTTTAATCTTTATATCGTATAAGTGATGTTAATTTGTTTCATCCTTTTAATGACAACCCAGAAAACAAGACTTTCTGTAAGCTTCTATTAAGAGAAAACAATTACAAAGAAGACACTCAAACAAAGTCCAGTGAGCTATCTTAATTTGTTCTGCAGATTTTAATACAAGCACATACTGTAATATACAATGATGCGACTGAATGAAAACTCAGATCTGTATATACTTCAGGTACAAACAAATGATTAATTTCCTTTCCAATATGTATTGATTTTGAAATATTAGCTCAATTTAAAGTAATATCATATGGGTAACATGCTGTAAAACCTAGTATTTTATCAATGATAATATCTATATTTCCTTTTCTTGGAAGCAGGCATGTTTATAACATTTATCCCCATCGTGGTGAACCATGACATCTCATTTCTTCCCAGTTCTGAGGTGCCATGATATAAAGAGCTAGATTTGATGATCCAGGAGAGTCCAAAATTGAGGATTTTTTAGATCTTTTATCCCAACTCAAAGTCATAAAGTGACTACCCCCCTCAGTTTAGCCAACAGACGAGGTGACATCTTTACATCACTTAAAGAACTATGTAATAGATATCTATTAATTATACCCATCATGACTTTTATAAAAATAATTATCCTTCTTTGGGTAATTTAAAAATGATTATACCCATCATGACTTTAAAAAAAATTATTATCCTTCTTTGGGTGATTTTAAAAATGATTATACCCATCATGACTTTTATGAAAATTATTGTCCTTGGTTAGGTAATTTTAAAAATGATTATACCGATCTTGACATCTATAAAAATAATTACCCTTCTTTGGGTAATTCTAAAAATGATTATACCCATCGTGACTTTTATAAAACTTGCTGGTTTTTGCACGTTTTTGAAAACCCGTTTTGAAACGAAAATGACGTCATTTGTATAATGGACGCTGGTTGACATATATCATAATAAATTTGAACCAATGATATACCAAATTAAATATTATTAAATTTCCTATCCACTGGTATATAACATTTTATGTTTTCATCAATAAAATCAATGTTTAATTTTGAAATACGAGTATCCCATTTTTTGGACCACCCTGTTTTTAACGCAATGGGGGACGTTTGACATCAAATGTATTCAATCCCTTACAAAAAGATTGTATCACACCTCTCATTCATTAGACTTTTGATTTCATTGCTAGATTTCTTTTTTTTCTTTATGATGTTTAAACTCCTTTTAGAGTCCATTGACTTTTATACTTTGTGTCATTAAGTTTAAGTGTCAATAGGTGCTAGCGAACATTAAACGTTAAGAATTCTATGCCTATTCAATGCAATTTACAAAAAAAACTTTATCAATTTCTAGAAGAGCAAGAGTGTAGTGATTCTCCAAGGGCAATTGGTGTTAAACGTTCAAGCATTTTATGAATTCCTCACTTCAGCAACCGGCAGGTAATCCATTCTGTTACAAAGGCGTAACGTCGGTTGGAGACTCCAGAAGAGTTCCCATAGGTGGCCATTATCACATTTTACCCTGTATCTTATTAACGACTAGTATCCAAGCCTAGTGCAGCATACCACAGTGTTCGGGAGAGACTCGCCTAGCCTGCTATAACAATCTTACCATGGGTTGCCCACCGATTTTTTGAGATAAATAATTTTGAAGACGCTAACCCCCTCTATCGTCAGATTTCTCAGAGAATTTTGGTAAAATCACCAATGTAAAAATCACTTCGCCACCAGCTTAAAATAAAATTTCCCACTGAACTTTGACATGTTTTCAGATAAATTAGGACGTACCTTATAAATATTTAGTCCCGATTCACTTCCAAAACGCCAGATGGCGCTCCAATTGGGTAGGAAAAGAGAAAAATGACTTTTTATACAGAAAACCAAATCACGGAGGACTATATCCATCTTAATAATCAGGTTAGGACCAGCTCTTAAAACGAAATAGAATAACCTCATGGTCTAATTCATAATCGAGAATACAATCTAATATAGTTATTTAGATTAGTTTCGTGTATAATTACTTGGTCATCTTGTAATTCTATCTAGAAACCGATGGGAGATGAAAACACGTTAACCACATCTAATAATGTTTATTTATCCATATGTGCTAAGCTATTGTTTTAAGTTTCAAACTTAATTATTACCTTTCGTAGAAGGCTTTTCCTATGTATGTATGCACTGGCGGATCCAGGGCGGTATGGTGGGCCCAGAAAAATCTTAGGCCAAAAACATTTTTTTGGCGTCAATTAGTGGGCCTGTTTGGGCATTACTTGGCCTTTTTGTGCCAAATTTTTAAAGAAATGGGCCTAAATTTTTCAAAATTCGTATACAATTTGGGGATTTGGCCGGGGACCCGAATAATTTTCTGATTTGAAATGTACCCTCTTCCCCATTGTTAGCTTCTGGATCCCCCAGTGATATCTATGTACGTATCTTTTATTCTCGATCAGATTTTCATATCAAGTACAGTTTTATATTACATTGGTATTACACTTATATATTAGTGTTAAAGACAATAAAATAAAAGTGCCACAGCATACTTACAATTCGACAATTCTCTCCGTGTATTGACTTTTGTATAAACGAATGCAATACTTTTGATCATAAAGTTAAAAAAAGTAACAGAATTAAGGCGATCACTGGTGTACATTCGACATTTATTTTACAATAAAGCATTATAAAATAGTATATAGTGTCAATACTTACTGATTGTTCTGAGTTGCCATTCCAAACAAAAAACTTTACTTCAATCTGAACTTCTGATTAAAATACTACTTGTATACATGTATCTACATGTGGTGATCGATCTAATATATAAGTTGGCAACGGTGACTTGACAGCATCACCTGTCGCGATGCAACTCGAAAGTTCATCAATCATCCAGACATATTCAAATTATTTATTTTGAAATCCTAATAGACCCCTATATCAACCGAAATAATAGTTAATAAGTTATCTAGTTAAAATCTTTAATTTGTTTGATTCATCTATTGATTCCTGCAGAAATGAAAATAGAAATATAAAAAAACGAGTCAGAAATGTAAGTTTTTCATCGAATTTGTTAAGATATTTACATATAAAGGGTGGTCCAAAAATGGGACACTCATATTTCAAAAACAAATATTGATATTATTGATGAAAACATATTATATAGCAGTGGATAACGAATTTAATTATCTTTAATTTGGTATATCATAAGTTAAATTTTTTATAATGTCTGTAATCCAGCTTCATTTTAGTTTCAAAACGGTTTTACAAAACTTGCAAAAACAAAACTGATCAATATGTCCACCATTTTGATCAATTATAGCCCTCAACAGCATAATGTATATGAGTGTATCATGTATATCATGCTGTTGAGACAATGAATTCCACTTCTCAACAATTCTGTCTGAATAGATGTAAGGGGTTCATGGTACACCACTTCTGTTAGTTCTCACCATACGTGGCAGTGATTAGGCCTGGCTAAACTCCAAGTGGACCTTGGATTTTCCTTTGTTTCAGCTAAGGGTGGTCTAAACAGGGAAAATCCAGAGTTCACTTTGTTGGGCCATGTGTCTCATACGCATATCAATGATGCTATTGACCAGTTTATGCTAGAATTGAGGGCGATAATTGATCAAAATGGTGGATAAATTGAACATCTGTTTATGTAAATAAAGATAAAAAACTTAGTATTTGCAAGTTATGGAAAAACTGTTTTGAAACAAAAATGATGTCATTTGTATTATGGATGCTGTTTGACAGACATAATAATAAATTTGGATATACCAAAATAAAGATAATTAAATTCCCTATCCACTGATCTATAATATGACATGTTTTCATCAATAAAATCAATATTTTCTTTTGAAACACAAGTGTCCCGTTTTTTGGACCACCCTGTAGGACACATACATGTATTGTAACATGGCCGAACATCCTATTACATCACATTACCTCAATAAACAAAGCATTAATCATTAATTCCAGAAAAAATACCTTGAGTTTTGCAGTCGTCTACTAGGAAAAAGTGTAGGAAAGTCAGAGAATTTCAGTTTTTAATGACTTTGTATAGGTGTTTACGATTTCATAAGTACTGTAGCATGGCCTAACGTCGAGAAAATTGGCTAAAGTTATCATTTTTCAATTCAAAAATATAAGTTTATTTGCCAAAATGATTGAATAAGTAGCTAGATTACATAAGAACAGTTTTACGATAGCATTGAATATTATAATCACAAATTAATGCATCACACTCGGTTTCA